CAAATAAATAAATAAATAAAATAAATAAATAAAATTTTCCTTGACGTTTATTTTTTAGTTCTTCGCGTAGTTTTTTATTAATTATGCGTAACAAACTCCGGTTATTGTCTCTCCTTGACTTAAATTGTCGATCATTATTATACCTTCCGCATCCCAGAAGACGGAGGCCATAATTTTTTTAGGGGATGCAGACATCTTGAATCTCTTGGCTGGCGGGGAAAACTGTCTTTTCCACACCTTGCTTTGGTTTTTCATCTCGGGGTTCTAATGGTGTATTTATTGCTAAATTTAGCTTTGAAATGTCAACTTTTGCTTTCCTTTGGGCGTCTGTTATCGTTCGAGGAATCCAGCGCGCGGCCGCCTTATTGAAATTTAAGGTATGAATTAAAACAAGCGAAAGTTTTAAGATCTCAGCTAAATAACGGATGTTCACACGTCGATCTACTTAAACAATTTCGCCGATTTACTTGCGCAGCGGCCGTTGCTGGTCGCCCGGAGCGAGTGACATTGCAGACGTTTCTTGCGCGTTTAAATTCAGCGCACCAGTATGCCATTGTAGAATACGACGGAGCATTGCCTGCTAAACAGACTTCAGTTCTTCAAAATCTCTTTTTATAGAAAAAATTTCAAGCAGAAATATTTAATAACCGCACGAAGTTCGAGTTACTCCATTTTGCATACGAATCAAATTCCCGCCAAATGTGAAGTTTGAAAAAAACGGGTATGGTTTTAATTCTTTTTTTTCTGGCCTAGGCGCATTTCTATAACTCATTGATAAGTGTCCTATTCAGAAAACTTATTGATCAACCTAGTAATATTCCGTGTGTGTAGTAATGTAATGTGTAAAAATATTCACTATTCCATATCTTACTGTGGGTATCGTAAGAGGCGATAAAGGGAACCCTGAATCAGGAGATAGGCAGCGTCTTCCCGATAACAAAAAAAACTGAAGTTGGAAACCCGTCTACCATACGTGGGCAACTATGGCAAAATGAAGCAACCTATGGGGTAGGCCTATGTTCAGCAGTGGACTTTTATAGGCTGTAATCGATAGATGGATCACTAACTTACATAAAAAATGACCGAATTTTACTTAAAAAGAAAAATAACGGGCAACATAATATGTCCCACGGTTGTGATGCTGATGCAATCTCGTTTATTAATTACGACACCACAAAGTTTTAATATGTAAGGTAAGTGAATAACGATCTGGCAATACATGCGGGAAATCGATGGATGCAGGTGGCTCAGGAGCGTGCTTTGTGGCATTCCTCAAGGGAAGCCTAGGTTCGGCGGTATATTTATGATGGGATGTAAAAATTATGATGAAACTCATTTATTTATTTATTTTTATTCCTTATTGCATTCTTAAACAAAAGAAAACATTCACATTTCATTCACAGACATTCTCTACCAGTCAACCTATAAACATAAACTTGGTTGATATTCTGTTTTATTTTTTTTACTAAGGAATATGGAAATGCTATTCTAAAAAAAAATTATGGACAAAAATCGTTTTGACAGCACATATTACCAAGCTGCAGCTATATTACAGTTGTAGCACGAATGGGTCAGCTCGACCGGGGAAGGACCACGCTCTCACAGAATACTAGCGTAAAATAGCAGCTTAATGCTGATGCAAAGATTTTTTTATACTTATAGCCGATTTACACTTCGACAAGTACAGTAGCGAGTTTAGTTTCAGGGCAGTTGACAGTAAACGGTTAAATTTTATACTATGAGGTTGAACGCTAGCACCTTGCGTTCTGAGAACTTACGCACTGAACTAAACTCGCTCGTTCATACGAGCGAGCGGCGAGTTAGTTGCGGGTGGCGGGAGTCGCGCGGGAGGTCAACACTTCGAACTTAACTCGCCGAAAAATAAACCAGCCGGTTATCCCGTTCAACTTAATTGTTAACTTGCTACTTAACTTAATAATTTCCGTTCAAATGAGATTTTCTACTTAACTCTGAGTTTCGCAAGTTAACTCGCTACCGTAAACCGTGGCAAGTTTGCCCAAGCAGTGTAACTTTGCCCATTAGGGCATTTTTCAACAAACCGAAAAAATATCTATAATATTTAGTTAGTTAGCAGTTATTTAATCTGTGGTACAAAATTCAACTTATTCCTGGCAACACTAACACTCGAACTGTCATTTACTTGACTTTAGTGACTTGTCAGTCGTTGTCAAAGTTGGTGGTGTTTTCGGCGGGCGAAATTCTGTGTGAAAACTTCAATAAAAAGTCGAAGTTGCAGTTGCAGCAGGTAAGTAGTGTTTTAAATATTGTAAATATACTAAAAATAAATACGAAAGATGGTCAACAAACGGCGAAATGTCTCTGCAAATGATAAATATGGCGGATGGGCAAAGTTACCTTAGCGTTGTCAACTTTGCCCACCAAGATTCTAACATCAGGGTTGTCAATTTTGTGTTTCTGCATTTTTTTGAAGTTTACCTAATTAATATATTTGTAATAATTTGTTAAGCTTTTCAAACGCAGTTATGTGAGTTACGTAATACGTTAAACTTTGATATTTTATTTTTACGTTGTTGTATTTAGGCACTAATGTTACGCACAAAAAAAAGTATGTACAGAAGGTCACAGAATAGGGGATTTTCTATAAATATTTATTATAAATAAATGATATTTGCGATGACAATGTGACATCACTTTCACACAAAAAAGCATGTTTATGCTTTTTTTATTATTTGAAATTCAAAACCGCGATATCGATTTTTTTTTCGAGCATATAATAAAAAAATACCTTTTTTGTAGAAAAAAGTTGTCATCGCAAAGAGGCGATGTAAGTACCCCAGTAAACAACAATAGAAGTTTTTTTTCTGCTCTCCCAGATCAATTAGTATTTTCTACAATTAATTATTTTAACGACATCAATACTTACCTAAGTAACCATTTTACTAAGATTTTTTTTTCTGAACTAAGCTACCTACCAGAAAATCCCCTATAAAAAGTTAACATTTATATCTCTTACATAACTTATCTTTCTTTATATGCTCGTTATATACAACTTGTTAATGAATAAGCGCACAACCTTTTATGTGATGATTGTGATCATGATATGAACAACTTTTACTATGGGCCGACTCTGCAACTAAAAAAAATCAACTGTTTCATACAAATTGTCAATACATAGGTACTAGACCAGAATGTATGAAATAGCAGATTTTTTTATAGAGGACGTGCACTTATTCCTTAACACGTTTTGTATGTGTTTCCATTTTTCCTATGTCTTTGTGAAAGTTTATTTCATGAGTGTAAAAGTTAGATAAAGCACCATAATGTTTTTTGTTTTCAGAATGAACATGGAGAGTCGATCGCGAAAGAAAAGAAATAGAAGAAAACTGGGATCTCGACAATACAGAGATTATTCGACGGAGATGTTAGAAGTTGCCGTTGAAATGTTAGAAAAAAAATTAATTTCCAGTAGGGATGCCGAAAAGCAGTTCGGCATTCCACGTCGAACTTTATTAAATAAAATGAAAAAGGTGCATATGAACTCCACGGGGAGAAAAAAAAATTAACGGACGAAGAGGAGGATAAGTTAGTCGGTGTACTAATTGCTGCCGCAAACTTTGGTAGTCCAATGACTAAATTAGATTTAAAGTTACTAATTCATAAATATTTACAAAAGAATTCCCGAGCGAATTTATTTAATAATAAAATGCCTGGTGATGCCTGGGTAGAATTTTTTTTAATGAGGCACTCTTCTAAATTGTCCTTTCGAACAACCCAAAATATAAAACAAGTCCGAGCCGAAAAAAGCTTGGAAGAAATGGAAGTTTACTTTGACAATTTGAAAGAAACCCTTAACGGTGTACCACCTTCAAACATTTTGAACTACGATGAAACCAACTTGGCAGACAATCCAGGCACTGCCAGGTGCATTTTTAGACGAGGGGTCAAATACCCAGAGCGGGTACTTAATAGCTCTAAGAGTTGCATATCAATTATGTTTACGGTATGTGCAGATGGGACCTGTCTTCCAACTTATGTTGTCTACAAAGCCACAAATTTATATTATGAATGGGTGGAGGGCGGCCCTTGTGGGACTCGATATAATTGCACCAAATCTGGTTGGTTCGATTCTGATGCCTTCGAGGATTATTTTAAAACAATAATAGTTCAATGGGCGAAGAAAATATCAGGCCCAAAAGTCGTCATTGGCGACAATTTGTCGAGCCACATAAATATTGAAGTCGTGGAGTTGTGTCCACAACATGATATCCGATTGGTATTTTTAGCACCAACTTCCACTCATCTGACCCAACCTCTGGATGTTTCGTTTTTTGGTCCACTGAAAAGGGAGTGGAGAAGAATTCTACTTGAATATAAAGTCAAGAATCCTGGTCAAACTACACTCAATAAAAAAACATTTTCCTAAATTGCTGGCGGAACTAATTGAAAACATAAAGCTGAGGGAAACAAAAAAATATTGAAAGCGGCTTCAGAGCCACAGGTATTTGGCCTCTCAATCCAATCAGTGTTACTAAGATAATACTAGAACTATATGACGAAGTGAAATATGGAATAGACAATGCTTTACTAGAGTATTTGAAAGAAACAAGATCCCCAAATCCAATGACAGTGAAAATTGAAAACAGAACCAGGAAAGTCAGTCTGCGTGGAAGATATTTCTATAAAAGCCAATAATACAAAGAAAACAAATGCGACAAATAAGAATAAAAAACATATTAATACGGAAGAAGACATTTTGATACCGATGTTGAATGAAAACACAGAAGAAAAGATAGAGACAGACGAAGAAATAGAGACGTATATATTACATGAAGAAACAGGGCAAATAGTAAAAAAAAATTCCCAAAAAATCACGTGTAAGTCTTGTAAGTTCCGCAGTTACACAAATTACACAAAATGATTCTCCATCGACATCAACTGAAAATGACAGTAGAAATGAATTGGTAGTGCCATTGTCGTTATCATATAATCCAAATAGTCTAAAAGCAATTTGTATTGATATGATCAATAATTACATACATTCATTAGTCCAAGATATTGGTTCGGAATCGCCAGATCTATGCATTTTTGGTGAAAATTTGAGAAGTCGCGAAGAAAATTTATCGTTTATAGCACACGATGAAAAAGATTTACCTGTTTGTTTACAAACACAAAATCTACTTTCGAAAAATTCTCCAAGTGGGGTAAAATTGACTGCATACAGTTCTCCTAAAAAATTAGTTATAACCTCCGATGTAAAAGTGACTTCAACTGCTAAGATAACCTCAACTAGGAAGAAAGAACAAATCAAGAAAAAAATTTTGGGTGCTGAAACAATTCGAGACTCTGCACTACATATGAAGTTATATCCTAAGCCAAAGAAAACAAATGCCAAACAAGACAATATTCTAAAAGAAATAGAAATAAATAACGTTCAACCAAAAACATCAAACAAAATACAAAACAGAAAACGTAAATCTAAGAAAAAGAAGAGAAAGTTAGATAGATATGTATTAGAATCAAGCTCTGAAAACTCAGACATTATGAGCGTAGTAGATACGGAAAATTCTGAAAACGAATCCATGGAAGATTTTATTAAAAATATTTACTAGAGGAAGATTACAAAGAAGAATTCAAAGAAGATTACACAGAAGATGTTTCGTATTTTACAGGAAATCCGAGTAACATAAAAAAAGATGACTGGATATTGACAAAATTTGCCACAAAAAAAAGTTTAAAACATTACGTTGGACAAGTCATAAGCGTTAAAAATGAAATCCCTACAGTGAAATTCTTAAGAAAAATAAAAAATGCCAAAGGCAAGAAATTAGCGTTCACGTACCCAAATGTAGAAGACACTTGTGAAATGATGCACTTAAATGACATAATTCTAGTATTGCCTCAACCAAATATTTCGCGGAGGGGTCAGATAATATTTGATATAAATTTAAGTGAATATAATGTGCAATAATTAAAAGTAAATTTTATTGATCTTTATTTATATAATTAAGCTTTTATTTTTTCGTTATCTTGATGCAGTAAAACAATGCGTTTTGTTGGCTATATTGATAGCTATTTCTAATTTTGGACGGTTTTGGATTACTTACGGTTCAGGTAGCCAACTGAGTACTTATGTCATAAGATGATAGTTAATTGCTAAAGGCAGATGTTACAATGATTTCATGTCAAACTTGGTTGTCCACCAAAGCTGTTAGACTTACAAAGTTGACTTTTATTAAACGATGATCTCATAAAAATACTTTTGTTCCTAAGTACATTCCTAAGTTTTTTTTTTAATTTAAATAGGTAACTTATTGTTTATAGGGCTTGTCTTTTTTACATTGTGTTTATTGAAGTTTTTGGTTGATATTTTTGTTATTAAATTATTTACTCCTTCTACCACATGAGTAACTAGGTTCAGGCATTGATAACACGGGTAAATCTCTGAGAGTATCAGATGTAGGTAATAAAATTATTCCTTTTTTATAATCTTTTGCGTTTATTTGTTGATCTCAAGATTACATTATTTTTATGATGCTAATCTCAATAACAAATTTTTATTTCTTTTGTATAAGTTTGATTTTAAGTTAAGATTCATTATTAAGTACCTTTTTGTTGTAGCTTTCTCAAAGCCAATGTCGATTAATTTATTTCAATTCATAGTTGATTATATGATGCAACTCATAAGAATCAGATTTAACTACGTGTCAAGTCTTTTGTTTGATTAAATACCTATATAAAAATAAAACTGTTTCAATTACTCGTCATTACTCTAATCATTCCTCAAAACTACCTAACAGTTTGGTGCCTTAGCACTTCTCGCTTTCTACTGACGACGAGAATATATAATTACTATTTCTGTATGTTAACTACCATTAAATAATTAATAGACTGTAAGTAGTTTGCATTTATATTATTTACTTGGTACCAAGAGTATAAAACGGCTATTTGTGCAATACAATGTCTTAAATAGTGACAACCCTAGTGCATACTTTCGTTTGTATGGAGAATGTTAAAAAAGGCTTGGCAACTTTGCCCACTCCATTTTTGTGGCCGTTAAGTACGTGTAGTGGTTTCTTATATGATACAGTGCAACATTGCACCGTTTTTTTATCATACTTCTTAAACCACTTAATATAAAGATCAAAATATCGAAGCTAATGTGTTACCATGTCAAGTGGACAAACATGGCCATTTTTTAAATATTTGGCCCACGTTCTAAATTAAATTTTTTTGCAAGTATAACCATTTTTTAATATTGTAATTTTCAAATTTAAGTAAACCTAGAAAAATTTTCGACTACTTATTGCAAGTATTTTATTAAATATGTTTATAATTTTAAATTAAATTAGAGTAACGCATAATAAGCGGGCAAAGTTGCCACGTTTTACGGTACTGTACTTGTCGAATCGGTCTTTACCGAACACTACACATTAAATAAAACTAGGTATTTAATATTTTTAATATATATTAATATTATTTTTAATAATTTTAATATTAATTTAAAAAATAATATAAAAAAAACTGAAGGTAGCCTATACGGGACGTCAAACATCTCAGTCCTCCCACGATCATGGGTGCTGTAAAGCACACGAAACGTCGGTAATTAAAAATAAATAAATTAAACGCGATAAAATCTGTATAAATAGTTTTATTTAATGCTGCTGTTTCGTATGGTGAGTAGAAAGTCGAAGATCCATTTTAGTGGAAACGAGGCATTCCATCTAAGTCCTCAAGGGTAGCAACGCATTTGCATTTGGATTTTTAATTGAGAATAGATGTAGATACGAAGAAGGATAATGTCTTATCCATTACCGTACAAAATAAATTCAAAGTAATAATGTGGTCAAATCGGTCATTTCTTATATAAGCACGAATTAAAATAGGATTTTTTTAATGTGATGCATTATAAGTTAAAATAAAGTTGTAGTTCTTGCAATTCACGAAATCGAGCGGGTTTCACTCGTGGTGGGACATGTACATGGACATTGCGATAGTGTGCGCGTCTGACTGAGCGATCAGTGGCTCCACTTATATAAAAAGTGCTCTATGACCAGTTGCGAGTGTGGCACCCATGGAACTTCCTGCTTTTGGTCTCACGCACACGTATACAAATAATTTACCACAAGTAAATCCCGCACGACTTCGAGAATATCAAGAACCACAATGCGTTGCATATTCTATCGTTGTGACGTTTGTACCGTGTAACGGTCATGTTTTTAAGGCATCCATATTAATAATTAAGTACCCGGATGGCCGAGTTTTTTTTTTGAAATTACATTTATAAATTACATACTGATGAAACATAAATAATATTTTTTGATCTTATTGACAGAATAGAAAAAAACTGAACTGGTTATTTGAATAAAAAATCATGAGTGCAATTAGTTTAATTAAAATTTTCGTATTTTTAAAAAAATACTAATAAAAAGGGCTTGGCTTTTCTCACAAAAGAAGGGAACTTGAAAAAAAAAAAGAAAAAAAAGCCGAACCAAAGATAGGACGCGAACCACGGAACTCCGAAATCACGCCCGACCGACATCCCACCTGAGCTATTACGATCGTTAGTGATCTATCAAAATTTACCTTCTTATATTGTAGCAGTTTTTTTATTGCCTGAAAACATGGACAAAAGGACATTTTCTATTGTAGTTGTAGCACGAATGAGTCAGCTCGACCGGAGGAGTATCACAGAATATCAACGTGAAATAGTAATAATGTAGAGACAAAGCATTCCATCTTTATTCAGATTCCTTATTATTGTCCGTGGGTCACAGCATACACTTACCATCAGGTGAACTCAGAGCTCATTTGTGACTGATAATTTATTCTAAAAAAAATCGTAAATAGTAATCGTAATAAATTAAATTATATATAACAACTCGAGTTCTTTTTCTTATCTCAACAGATCTGAAAAATAATAAACATATTATATGAAATCTATAGTAATACATTAGAAGAAAAATTTACTCGCACTACAACAAATTAAAAAAAATTCAGAGAAATGATAATCTATCTTTAACACTATAAGAATTCTTAAAAAAGGAAACTGAGATCTCCATAAAACTACCAACCAAACAAATAATGTTCTTCAGTCTTGTATAACATTACTTAACATATTTCTTACACAGCACTCTACATACAATACAGTCGTCTGTCAACAGATGGCGGTGTTGCGGTAGGCGAACCACATCTAATTCTGCAATTAAATACTATAGTTATAATACGATTAAAAGTAAAGTAACAGCCTATATACGCCCTACAGCTGGGCACAGGTCTCCTCTCAATTCATAGGAGGTTTTAGGGCAAGGAAATAGTCTACTGCGCTGCCCCAATGCATGTTGTCTAACTTCACATGTCTTCGAAATATATTTTTTCTTATTTCTTAGACATGCAGGTTTCTTCACGATGTTTTCCTTCACCGCCGAGCACGTGATAAATCAGCACTTAAAATTGCCAGTGGGTATCGAACCAGGGTTGCTCGGGTACTGTGAAATTTACACCGAGTGCTTAGCCCTGAGCTACCATGGCCCTATAATAATACCACCATATACGTACTTATATCATAATACATTACAACAATATAATGTTGTTACGCGCCATAATTAAGCCTGGTACATGGCATCGAGTTCGGTAATTAAAGTGTCAATTATGGTAATTCAATCGGCACTTTTTATTCTCAAAAACCCCAAGCTCATAACAACACAATTATGTATAATATATGTATATATGTTTTATATGTATATGTTTTATTTCATTAATTACACCCTATTAAAAGTCCACATCTCAACAGGCAGACCTACTTCCTCATGATCTGCCTAATTGAGTATAATGGCAACCGCAGATTTTATTATTTTTAGTTGTTATCAGGAAGATGATGCTATCCATCTCCTATTTCTATTCCCTCTGTAGCCTCTTACAGCAACTACTCGATGATTTGGGGTTACAAATAATTCGGACACATTTTAAATATAATAACATACACGCTTTCACACAATCACTCATACCCGCTTATATCTATTGAATGGATTCTACAATTTGCCTTATAATATAACTTTTTATAACTCTTAATGATATACGAGCGATCCGCCCTGACTTCGCACAAGTGATTTATGGATCTCGCCAACAGCGCTTAGTGAAACAAGCTGTAAAATATGTAACCTACCCGTGACGGAGGGGGAGGGGTATCGTACTGGTGACCTGTAACAGGTTTTTATTTAAAAACCTTCAATAGGTTCCAGTCTCTCACAACGTTAGGTCTTTACTATGTTGCTACTGTAAACTAACCAGTAAGTTGTGAAGAGATAAATATATTGAGGTACATTGAATTTGATCTCCTGTCAAATGAACCAAACAATAAGGTGGTAGAACCGTTTTTCTGCCTAGAAGACCAGTTTAGGTACCTCCCTCTAACCTAATTCTAATTCAGCGGTTTTATTAGTAGCATAGTTGTAGCATGAATGGGTTGTCTCAACCGGGGAAGGACCACACTCCCACAGAATACCAGCATAAAATAGTAGCTTAATGCTGCTGTGTTTCGTATGGTGAGTGTAGAGAACCAGAGACCTTTTTTTACGAGAAACGAAGCACATTCCATCTCAGTCCTCACAAG